TGACAATAATGTCATCCACATGTAACAAAAGATAAGTGATAGAATGAGTAGTACGTCGTATGAACAACGAAGAATCAGTAGTAAAGGCAATAAATCCAATGGTCAAACAGTGTGAAGTAAAGCACTCAAACCAAGCTCAAGGAGCCTATTTGAGACCATATAAGGATTTAAGAAGCTTACACACATAATTAGGATACTGAGGATCAACAAAACCTTTTGGTTGTTGCATATATACCTCCACACGAAGCTCCCCATGGAGAAAACATTTTTAACATCAAGTTATCAAAGAGACCAACAAAATTGATCTGCCAAAGAGAGGATAATACGAACTATTGGTTTCTTAATGACGGGACTGAACGTTTTCTCATAATCAATCCCTTCTTCTTGATGATAACCCTTAGCTACCAACCGGGCTTTAAAACGAGCAACGCTCCCATCAAGATTGAGGTTCACACGATAGACTCATTTACAACCAATAACATTCTTCCCTAGAGGTAATGTAGTAAGCTGCAAAGTTTTTTGTTTGACTAAAGCCTCATATTCTTCGAGCACAGCCTGTTGCCAAACAAAAATACGAGAAGCTTTCAAGAAAGAGGAAGACTCTGAGACCATGATACAACTCTCTAATTGAATTAATATTTGCATTAATCTTCGATAATCTTTATTAATACAAAGGGTACATATTTATAGAGATCTTAACCAAATAACTAAACTAAAGCTAGGGGTGTTAAAAAAACCCGACAACCTGACGAACCCGATGAACCCAACCCAAACCATAAGTGTTGAGTTGGGTTGTTGAAATTTTCCCAGCCCGATCAGATTGGGTTGGGTCTCGAGTTCAACCTTTAAAAATTCGGGTCAACCCAACCCAACCGGAATTTATGCATATTATATATGTTTTTTTAATTATAAATAATATAATAATATCTTTATAAATATATAATATTTTTTTATCTTTAATCTCAACCCTCCATTATTTTTAATCCTAGCCATTCATTTTAGGTTAGAGTTTTTTATCTTTTCAATCTCACTTTCCCTCCTCCTTTCTCTCAAGCCTCTCTCCTCCATTTTCTTCACTCTTTCAAGCTTCTTTCCTCCATTTTCTTATATCTCTCTAGTTTCTCTGTTCCATTTTCTTCCCTCACTCAAGCTTCCCATCGCCATCGTCCTTCGCAGCTCCTGTCGCTGCCCACCTTTGGAGCTCATGTCGTCGTCTCAGCCCATCGTCATCGCCACCGGCCTTACCCTCTCTGCCATCCGACATTACCATGAAAGAAGCCCCAGTGAATGAGGTTTTAATTCTTCTACGTGAGCCGTTTTGTCCCTTTGAGGTTAGAAAAATATATGAAAAAAAAATAACAACCCGACAACCCAACCCTGGGTTGGGTTGGCCATCAATTTTAGACTCGTCGGTTCTCATATATGGCCAACCCGAAAATTCGGGTTGGTCCCAAAAATACCCCTAACCGACCCAACCCAACCCGTGAACACCCCTAACTAAAGCTCATTAATAATATAGATTATGATGAGGGACAACAAGAGGATTAGCTATATTAAATAGTTTGATTTGAAAAATGGCCAAAAAAATCAGATATCACGAAAATGGCTAAAGGGCAGTTAGAGTTGAACTAAAATATTGTATGTGGACAAATTTACGAAACAAGATTGTGAATTAAAATTATAAAGTTCCAAAATTTTAAATAACATCTAGGTTTAGAAATTTCAAAATTTGTAAGATAAAATCTATTGAATGCATACTTTGAAATTAAAAAAAAATATATTAAGATTGAATCAAAATGCAAAATGGAGTAAAAAACGTAAAATCAATTTAGAAAAGTGGAAAATGAATAAAAAATAAGATTGAAACTGGAAAGTAATGTTTTTAAAAATATGGATGGAGTAGTTGCATTGCAGAAGATGAAAATTAATACCATGTTAGGATCCATTATGGAAGGGGAGGCAACTGAAAGAACTTTTTCTCACTTTTGCCCTAACTCCTTCCTAAAGAAAAATTTAAATCTTCCATCACCATTAACCTCGTGGGCTGTGTACATCCCTGCATAAATACATAGAGTAAATACGTGTATAGACAAACTAAAGACAGAGTAATTAGAGGCACATACGGTTCTTGGATTTTTATCGATCATCCTGCCTGCAAAAGACTGGATGAAAGCGTACGATTGTTCCGGTGACCCACTTGATGAATTTCTTCCCAATAAGGTAAATTGTATTTTGATCGGCGTCTGCACTTCCACTGCCCGTGTAAATAGTGTTATATACGAGGTCACTAAGGTAAACTATATTCTGAGCGACGTCTGCACTTCCACTGCCCCCGTAGATGGTGTTATATACACGGTCAGTATCCTCAGCTATGCAGCAGTCGCTACACATGACATCTGAGAAAAGGGATATGGCCCACGCCACGTCCCTATCTAGTAACAGTGAAAGTCGTGTAATTTTTTTCTTTCTGAAAAATAAAGATCTCTAGAGATACATTCACTGAGTTGTTGTAGGGTGGAATTGAAACGTGCCGCCAGTGAACCCTTGATAATTGTCCTGCTCCTTCCAGCTTCCATCATGTAAAACTCTTGCTATGAATGATTGCATAGTGTTCCACGTTGATTGGTTTAATTCTTCAAACAATGTAACAAAAATGGGTGGGGATTGATGAAATTTTGTGTAAGAATATTAAAGAGATATCATAAAATTGATGAATGGAGTAGAATTTATTAACCAATTAGTTATGTTTGTTAAAAATAAATTAATAATATTTTAAAATAGTTTGAACGATGTAGGCAGATTTGGTGGTTTCAATATTATGTCGAGATCTTGATGGTTTGTGGAAAGATTTGAGAGATTATGTAGAATTGGTAGTTATGGTGATTTCAATATTAAGTCGAGATCATCTTGCTAGTTTGTAGAGAGATTTTAGGGATTTTGTTTGAACGTGTGTGATTTGTCGAATGTGGGAGGCTGAAAACGTGAATGAATAAAATGGAGAAAGACTGCCAGGCAATTATGGGCATAAAATGTGTGGAGGGACAAATATGAAATTATACACCCCTAAATTCTAGGAAATCAAATTTAATGTGCAATTTAGAAAAACTTTTGGCCATTTTTATTAACGATGACCTGTACATAACTATTTCTAAGGATTTTCCTTATGATAATATGGTGCTCAATGATGAGTGCTTGAAAGTTTAACTTAGTAGTTAGTATGAATTGGTATCAAGCCGAATTTAGTAAGATAGTATAGAGATTGCGTACTTTTATGATGGATGGACTCTCTCATCCCTTTTATATGGGAATCTTGGAAAAGTTGCTTTGCCATTTTAGTATTCTGAATCTATAGTCATTAGATTTTTTGTCGGAGATCAATGTATTGCCTGCCAGCAATATCCACATTTCGAAGTCAGTCCTGAATTGAGCTTGTGCTCAAAAGACAAAGGAGTTTTGACCAACTACTTCTCGTTCTCAACATGTCCGAACTAAGGTCGGGACATGTGTTCTTTAACGAGAGGGTCTTGTGGTATCATGGTCCTACCACTAACACTTGGCAAGTTGTTATTCTAAAACTTGGTATTTTAAGTTTTTTTTTTTGTCTTTTAGTGTACTCTCACAAATTATCTTAATAAAGTTATTGTTTTTTTCCTTCCAAAATTACAAATATATTTAGTGATTTTGATTGACATTGCACAATCACATAAAGTTTTTCAAACCGCCCAATTGGCAATTAATTGAAATATGTCATCTCTTTCTTAAACAACTCGAACTACCTGATTTTAGTTTAGGAGTATTTTTAAAAGTAGAATAATACTAATTAAAGAAAATAAAAAGTCAAGAGTTCTATTAAAGAGAAAAGAAAAAAGTCTTAGTCGGTCATTTATTAGTAGTTATCCGTTAGGGCATATGATTGATTTCGATACAAAAAAAACTTTTGTTATTTAATTTTTGGTTATTGATAGCCATTAATAATTTAATATAATACTTATTCTAAAAAATAATAATAAAAAAAAAGATAAGACATTAATATTGGCGGAGCAGCCCATCTGAATCCAACCCAACCTTCTTCCCTTCCACCTATTTTTTATTCTCTCTTTTTAATGAATGATTGATTCATTAAGTTTTTTTTTTTCTTTTCTTTTCAACATTTTTTAAAACCCTTTTTTAGAAAATTGAAATTTTCAACTTCTTTCCAAAATAGAAATTAAAAGTAATTACAAATTTTAAGATAATCTAGTTTCCGCTAATTTGATCCTTTATAATATGGACTAGTTTACTTTATAAATCTTTTCCTAAATTGGATTTTTTACTCACCTAAAACCCACTTTTTTCCCTCAATTCAAAAAAATAATACAAAAGACCAATATAGCTAATACAATAAGTTAAATAGAAAATATTATTATTATTATCATTTTGATACACAGGTGAGGGTGGGGGATCGAACTCACAATCTCGTTGTTGAAGATATATGTTAATTTACCACTGAACTTTACTCGCTTTGGCAAATAGAAAATATTATTTGATTGTCATGACCGTGTAAAATAGATAACGTACCTCATTTTGAAAATGATAATGACTCATAATGGCCAGGATAATTCATAATATTTGATGAAACCAGATATACTAAATTAAAATTTTTTATTGAAATTAAGTATAAACAATAGAGACTGAATTGAAAATTCAATTAGTGACTCCCCATGATAAATCCAGCCCCATGATAAATCAAAAGGATTTTGTTCTAACATTGTCCTACAGTGGGAAGGCAAAGAAGAAACTGAAATCTACAGACAACAACCGAATAAAGCCATGGACGCGTGGCTCTGCAATTTATGAACCTTCGAAGACTTTTTTTTTCCCTTCTTTACGTGTGTGAATCGATCTCCCACCACTCTCACACTGAATCGGACTTTTATCATTAAATCCAAAAAGGGCCTTTTTAGTTTCTTCCCAATTCTTCATCTCAATTAGTGACTCCCTGTGGCCCCGGTGACCAGGTCTCAAACTTTTCTCCACCCATGGCTTCCCTCTGTTTCACCGCCTATAAATATATTCCTACCATTCCATTTCTCCCCCATTCTCCAACAAAACCCACCAAAAAAAGAAAAAGAAAAAAACGATGATGATTCACATCCCCTTTTCTGGGTTCTAATCCGTTTCCCCTGTTTCAGCTTGCGCCGGAAAATATGGAGATGATGAACACAGCCAGTCTTCCGTTCGGGTTAACGGATGTTTCCGATGTCACAGCGACTCTCTCGAATTTGATTCTAACCGGCGGAGGGAATACTACTTTGGATTCGATCTTCTCACACTGCGGGAATTTCGTCGGCGGAGCTCTGGATCAGGGAATTGGCGGGTCGTCGGTTTACCTCCGGCAGCGGGAGCTTCTGCAGAGATTCTCTCAGGATAGGAAAGTTAATGGGTCTCGGGATCTGTTTTCGCGGGCGTATGAATTGCTGTATTCGAGAAGCGCTGCCGTTGGGGGCGGCGGCGAGAAGAAGCTTTACAGAGGAGTGCGGCAGAGGCATTGGGGGAAATGGGTGGCAGAGATTCGGCTGCCACAGAATCGGATGAGGGTCTGGTTGGGGACCTACGAGTCGCCGGAGGCCGCCGCATACGCCTACGACTGCGCCGCCTATAAGCTCCGGGGGGAATACGCGCGGCTGAATTTCCCCAATCTTAAGGACCTGAAGAACGATTTGGGCTCCGGCGAGTTCGCGAGATTGAGTGGGTTGAAGAAGTTGGTCGACGCCAAAATCCAATCGATTTTTCAGAAGATTAGGAAGGGGAAGGGGAAAAAGACTGCGAAGAAGAATGATTCCCGGAGAACCGGCGGCGATTTGGGTTCGGCTTCGTGTTCTTCGTCGTCGTCGTTGTCGCTGTCGCCGCCGCCGGTGGGGCAGTTGACGGACGATTGGAGTTGGGAAATGGTGTCGGCGTCGGCGTCGTCGTCGTTGTCGATGTCGCCGCCGCCGGTGGGGCAGTTGACGGACGATTGGAGTTGGGAAATGGTGTCGGCGTCGGCGTCGTCGTCGTTGTCGATGTCGCCGCCGCCGGTGGGGCAGCTGACGGACGAGTGGAGTTGGAAAATAGGATCGGCGGCGGCGGCGGAAGAGGGGGTGTGGAGCTGCTTTGAGAACTCGCCTCGAGCGGTTTCTGTGGATACCTCAACGACGGCGACGGCGGCGGCGGGATCAGAGACGGAGTGCTACTCGCTGGCGAAGATGCCTTCTTATGACGCAGAGCTGATCTGGGAAGTTCTAGCAAACTAAAGCTATGTGTAATTTTTAATGGGACAAAATAGTAAAGAAAAAAAGAAAAAAGAAAGAAAGATTTTGGTTAAACTATAAATTTAGCTATAAATTTTACTTATCTAACCTTTTTTTTTTCCGAGAATGTAGAATACAGAGAATACGGAAATTTTGTGTTCCATAGGACATAGTTCAATGATAATTTACACATGCATCCAACCGAGAGGGTTTGAGTTCGAATCTACTGAAACATGTTGTACTAAAAAGTAATAAGTAAAAAAGTGTAAATTTTGAAAACTAAAGATATTTATGTAATTAAGATTTCAAAATAGCCCTCCCAAGATATTATCTTTTAAATATATATAATTTGACGTTAGATCTCTTTATTTTTAAATCTTTTATATTATTTTATTTTTGGAGTTAGATCTCCACTACCTATATTGTTTCTCTTTTTTTAACCTTTAGTCGATGAGTATACGGTTGGAACTAAATCGGATTTATATTTTCTATATACTAGCATGAATCTGAATTTAATAATTTTTAGGTTGAAAAATAATTTTGGTTCTTATACTCCATTATAACATTTAGTTCATGAATCTTGGTAGGTAACAATTTAGTCTATATCGTAAAAATTTCTATCAAAATTAGTGTTGTTTTTTATTATATAACCATATAGTTTTTGTAATTTATAAACATATTTGGTTCTTCATAAGTTTATCCATCTACATATAAGAAATACTATTAAATCTCAACAACATTTTTCATGATGGAATTAAATCATTACAGACTTTAAACCACTAAATTGTTACCAATGTGAAAATATAAGGACCAATTTGTTACCAACTAAAATTTAAGGATTAAAGCATTACTTTAATAATAGAGACCAAAAATATCTTTTTTTAACCTAATTTTTGCCGACTTAGACATATATCTGTATCTATCTTCAACTCCTAGAAAAAAAGTAAAGTGGTTTAACTGTTGAACTACGTTCATATTGGTGAAATAAGTTGAGTTTGTAATGATATAAAAAGTATATTGTTGCATTAAATAAAATTAAAGAAAAAATGCTTCTTTTGAAACTTATTCCATGCTTTTAAAATTTGTCTCCCACTTAGTCTCGAGGACCATGCCATTTTAGTAGTTGGTCGTCTCTTACGCCACGTCTGATTATTTTAGACATGATGTCTCTTGATATCAATTAGTGGTGCAGTGGATGATGTTGCAATTTTCTTTCTTCTCTTCATCAATTCAGAGTCTCAAAAAATTCAAGTTTTTTTCTTTTACTATTAATCAACTTTCTAGTTATTATTATTATATTTTATATTATATTATTTATATTTTAATATATTTTAAAAATATTATTTTTAATAAATTGTGTATGCATTTCTTTTTTTCTTTTTTTATTTATTATTATACCATTATATTTTATATATTATTTTTTATAAACTGTGTATAATATATATATATACTTATTATAGTTTTTAATAATAATAATAATAATAATAATAATAATAATAAATTGATTAACATTAAAAAGGTAATAAAAAAAATGAGAAACACGTCAATCCAGGAGAAGTATTGTATATAAGGTGAATATAAATCTACTACACCAGAACTGAAGTAAAGAGTTATATATACAATAATTAAGGTGAATATAAATTCACTTAAAACTATATATATACATATTATATACACAGTTTATTAAAAATAATATAAATAATATATAAAATATAATGATATAATAATAAATAATAATAATAATAATAATAATTACTGAAAAAAAAGATAATCATTTAAGAGTTTTTTTTTTGATAAAATAATCATTTAAGAGTTGATTAATGGTAAAAAGAAAAAGAAATGCATACACAGTTTATTAAAAATAAATATTTTTTTTGAAATATATTAAAATATAAATAATAAATAATAACAATAATAATAATATATATAATTTAATAATAATAATAATGTATTGATTTAAATACTAATAATAATAATAACTAAAAAGTTGATTAATGATAACTGCGTCACTAATTATTATTCTAAATAAAAAATTATTTTTTAATATATAATATATAATAATGTTTATTTTTTCTTTAAAATCCGAGTCGTCCTTGGAAGAAACGATCATAGAGTACGTTCCAACACATATTCGTCTCTTGAGAGACACCTTGTCTTGATTTTTTTTAAAAATCAGACGTGGCGCCAATAAAGTGTCATGTTTGAGAGACGACCAACTATTAAAAATGACATGGTCCTCCCTTCAAGAGATGATCAAGTTTGGGATTAATTTCAAACCCATTATTTTTGGAATAAGAAGAAGGGGAAGGAGAAGGAGTCCTCGACTCGCAATAGATAAATGATGATTTATTCAATCACATAGTTTGGGCTCCTAGAATATGGCGCCCTTAGGGCTTTCTATTTGATTGTATCGAAAGGCCCAATGAATTGAGATTTCCATATTGGACTAGGTCATTTCGGAGCAAGCAGATCATTTATGATGAAAAGAATGAGCTTCAATAAAATAATTCGGAGTTCTTGTAGAGTGGAACCGTGCAGTACCAGACATGAGATAGATCTCCCAAAGAACAAGCATTTTTTTCTTTAATTTCATTTAATGCAGCATTATTTTAAGAAGAAGTTTAAATAAATACGTTATTTAAAAAAACAAAAAACCTACAAAATGATGGTATTAACCACATCCAGTTGCCAAAATTTAAATATTTTTCTACTTCAGTGTTTGGGCTTTCTTTCAAAGCAATATTGGGCTGCCTGCAGCATTGGGCTCAATAATTGCAAAACTAGCTGCGCACCAAAAAATTTACAAAAATAGCGGTACTCGAACTTTGGTGAAAGACGAAAAAGCCCTCATTAATCACTGATGTATTATACATTTATAAACCGTAATCACTAATTAATTGACTTCTTAATATATTTACTAACTGATTTACTCATTTACATTAAGCAGTCGATTTAGCATTCTTAGAGGCTGGGAGAATTGGTCAAGATAGTGGGTCTACACTCTAATGTGTAACGATCAAGTTGAGCGGATCAATGAATAGGATGGTGAAAAAATTTAGAATTTTAATTTACAAAATAACGAGTCAATCTAAATATATTTTTTTTACACTGATTACAATTTGGAATTTATTAATTTCGACTTTGTACTGGACAAGAAAAAAAATATATATATATATATATATATATATATTAAAAATAATCAAGTTTACAAGGATTCTAGTGTTTAATGAGTAAATAT